TCAACTCCCAGAATTCCTCAGCCGGCTGAGGAATTCTGGGAGTTGAAGTCCACAAGTCTTAAAGTTGCCAAGGTTGGACACCCCTGCGCTAAACGAACATTTGCAAGTTGAGGTCTACTCCCTGTCCACAAAAAGCCTCCCCCGAGCCATGCCGGACCATCCTGGTTTGATGCTCGCAGCCCGCTTGGCTAGCTTTCTGGCAAACCATGGCTGGCTGGATCCTAATCAATAAGTTGAATTTTTTGGGGGTGGGTGGGGAGACCCTCCCAATCCTTGGCTTCCCTCAATCTTCTTCCAGCCCTGCTGAGGCTGCTTCCCCAAGAAGCCCCCTCCCACCCCCTCCCCTCCGCCCGCCCAGCTTCTCCGCACTTGAGAAATAATCCATCATTATGATTAGGGATGTCAGATTTAAGTGGCTGCCTGGTCCTCGGCAATTAAGCCTTAAGTGTTCCTCCTCTGCTTCAAATTCAAATTAGCGGGGCTGGATCAATAGCCGGCAAGATGTAAAAAAGGCATTCAAGACCCCCGCGTGGCACGGGCTCCCCGGATTAAGCTCTCGAGCCTGGTCCCTTCGGGGCAGGGGGCTTCGGCCTTCCCTGATTAGCTGATTTCTTCGGAAAACTTCTCGCCCCTGGAGTGGGGAGGAGAAGGGGGGGAGGAGATGAAGCCAAGACCCCCTTTTTCTAAGGGTCTGGGCTGCTTGCTGCCCACCTACAACACCCCCACCCCCACCCCAGTGAGAATAACAATAACAGAATAGCAGTGTGGGAAGGGTCTTCTACCCGCTGCTGAAGCAGGAGACCCTATACCATTCAAGATAAACGGCTGTCCAGTCTCGCCTTAAAAATCCCCAGCGATGGATCCCCCACAACTTCTGGTGGCAAGCAGTTCCACTGTTTCATTGTTAAATTAACAGCTGACTCTTCCGACAGGCTTTCTGGGAAGGGATGGGTCCTGGACCAGACCAGCATCTTCGCCCAGGTGGATGCCTTTGTCCAACGTTGCAAAGACCTCCTGGAGGTAGGTGTACGGTGTCCGTCTCTAGCGGTCCATGTTAGCTTCTCAGGGTTGACCTCTGCAATCCTGTTCTGACCACGGCTCCCTGAGGCTGTAATTAAGCACACCGCTTAGTCCAAATAATTTATTGTTTTATTTCAACGCTGGGAATTATGTTCATTCCCAGCCTGTAATAAGTCCCAAACAGTCCCTCGAGATAAGCACCCACCTTTCTCTCCTTTAAATTGCTGCCAACAACTAAAGTGCCAAATGAACTGTTAAAAAAACCAGCTGAAGTACAAAGTCCATACAGAGCTTCAAGGTTTAATCCGAAGAGAGTGAACGACGTTGCTTCCTGCAAAGGTTTCTGTACCTTTGCCTGTCCTTTATCCATTATAGGAGGGGCAATCACCTCCCAGCCTTACTCCTGAGTCACCCCTTTTGTCTCAGCTGCTCTCTCCTTCTAGCAGCTCTGTGCACATGCACACTGGGGACAGGCTCCCCTTCTTCCTCTGCCTCGCTCTTGCCAGACTCTGGAGGCTCTGGAGGCTGCACCCCACTCCCAGAGGGTCCTGGCCTCATCTTGGAGGAGCAGTGCGGCAGTTTGGAATCGAAAGGGCATTCCATCCTTATCTTGCAAAGATTATAACTAAGCTACTGGAATTTCTGCCCGGGCAAATCTCTTAATTGGAGAATGCGATTGATGACTCTTGGCTATGAACATGTTTTATTGGAGAATATGAATTAGGGTACACCTAGAAGGGTGGGGTGTGGGGGGAAACGGGGTCATAGGTGACAGCGAATTACGTGTCTCATCATCAGCTCCACACACGCCATGCCGACACGTTGGCTCCGAATAAATCCTCTGAAGTTTTTGAAGCTCAGCTCGACTTAGGGCAACCGCCGGAATCCTGACACTTGAATCTTTTCCCATCATATTTTCGGGGGCCCGTGCCCAATGAGAGTAGATCCTGGTGGGAGATAGTGATCACAGCCGCTTCCTTCTCCCGATAGGTCTGCGACAGCCAGCAACACTTCGCCCGCTGGGAAGACGGCAAACAGACCCCGCTGCCCTGTTTCTCCGGTCAACAAGGTCCCCAGATGACCAGGAGCTTGCTGGAGATCGAGGAGACCTTCAGTAAATATCTCAACAACCTCCGGAATGTGAAAGGAGGGATTCTGGATGTGAAGAACACAACCTGGCACGAAGACTTCAGCCGGTGAGAAAAATCTACTTTGCCAAGAAAAGACGGGGGGGTGGGGGGGGCATGGGGAGGCAGGGGAGAGCTCCATGGGACACGTGCCATGGAGGTCCACCAAGAACTTTAGATGGTTTACAAGACCCTCTTCTTCTTCTTTTTTCTTATTCTTCTTCTCCTCTTCCTCCTCCTCTTCCTCCTTCTTCCACTTCCGCTTCTTCTCCTCCTCTTCCTTTTCCTCCTCCTCCTCCTTTTTCTCCCTCCTCCTCCTGCCATCAGCTTCCGCGCGGGGGTCAAAGACCTGGAAGTCATGACCCAGAACTTGATCACTTCAGCCTTCGAGACGGTGAGGGATGTGGAACATGGGGTGGAGATTCAGGACGTCTTCGAACATCTGTCCTCCCGAGAGGTACACGTGGGCCCACAGTGGCTGAACCGGGGAGAGATGGGGGGCAGCTGGGGAGGGGGGCGGGGAAGGGAAGGCAGGGCTTCCAAGAAGGGCTGTAACGACGCTATAAAGGGGCATCTGGTGGACCTGTATTTTATTAGCGAGGAGGAGGAGAAGGGCTTGGACCTGGGGTGGTCTTTAGATCGGAAGTTGTGGGAGCGTCATCCCTTGAGACTTTCAAGAAGAGATTGGACTGCCATTTGTCAGAAATGGTGCTTGGGCGGGGGGTTGGACTAGATGACCTACAAGGTCCCTCCCAACTCTGTTAATCTATGGTCTCCTGAAAGATGCTTGGAAGGCTTGAAGCAACTTGACCATGGGTGGAATTCGATCCCCAGAATTCTGGGAGTTGAAGTCCATCTTAAGCATGGAAATCTGGGTGTGGAAGCCCTCCCACCTAAAGCATGGAATTCTGGGAGTTGAAGTCCATC